CGAAATCGTTTCGTATTTCATCTGCAGACTAGCTCGAAATTCGGCACATTGTATATACTATACAGGGTGTCTCAAAAATATCTCTCTTCCCGGAAATAAGAGGTTCCTGGGATGATTTGAAACCACTTTTTCCTTAGCAGAAATGTTATTCGAGGCTTTGTTAACGAGATATTAACGAAAAACGCCGACCAATCAGAGCGCGAGTCTGTCGGTCGAGTTCCCTCGGTAATGTTGGCTACGCGCTGCGATTGGTGGCCATCGCCATAACGGGAACTCGACCGGCAGACTCGCGCTCTGATTGGTCAGGGTTTTCCGTTAATATCTCGTTAACAAAGCCTCGGATAACATTTTTGCTAAGGAAAAAATTGATCCAAATCGCCTCACGAGTGACCTATTTCAGGGACCTGCCACATTTTTGTTACACCCTGTATATGTACAGAAATTTCCGGCCAAAAAAGACCACTTTTTTATGAAAAAATCGCGGCAGCCTAATGGTTAAGGAAAGCGAGAAATTCTTATGTGTCGGTTCCGTTCCATTCCGAGTTACAGTCGGCGACAAGCTTGAACTGCTTCTTTCCGTCCCGCCACGAAATAAACCGGAACGAGACGAACGCCTCACGAAACGAGATCTCGGGAGACGCATCCGCGATCCACCGTCCATTAAAACGCTTTATAAATATGCAATGATTGTACATCACCGTCCATAAGTATCAAGACACTTATCCGATGGCGAAAATCTGTGGAATATTCATTTTCAGACTTCTGTCGCTTTATTTTGCGAACACTGAGTAAATTACATTGATACAGAACAACATCCCACAATGACTAACGAAGGTATTCGAACGAATGGTTAGTCAAAAGGTTACAATTTCGTTTAAAAATTGCATACATATTACGGTAGACATAAAAAATTGCACTGCAAAAATGTGATTTTGCATGATGATATTGATGGAAATTTGTGAATTTAAATTACGGAAAAGGAGGAAATTGATGGGATTTGATGAAACGTTGTTGTGTTTGGCTAATATTGGAATTATAGCCAAATTGCAAGTTTTTAGTATTTTATAAAATTTTCTAATAATTGAAAAATCGGTAAAAAATATTTTTAGTGACAAGTTATAGATAATAAACGTGATAGAATAAAATTTCTAGAATTTACAGATTAAATCCCATATCTCTGACACTTTACTAGTACTCAGACACTACGTATATTTTACATATTTACTTATTTTTATACAATTCGTTTTTTATGTATTTTTTAATTAACATTTTGTCACTAAGCAAATTCTTTCTCAAACCTACCTACTTAAAATTGTTCATACAAATAACTGAGTTCCGTATAATCGATGATGACGTTTCGATAATTGACGTTCCACTGTATTACGAGAGTATACACGTTACGTTTGTATTTGCTTCTGTCATTTTCCTGAAACGGTTCTCAATTGCCCGTAATATTATTATTACAAGACAATTAGATGTAGATTAGAAATGATTATATCTTTTCATTTACATTCTTATCACTTATGAAAGTGACGTAAATGTGCTATCTTTTTAATGTCGCCGACATCATAATCATGCCATAATAATGAAAGATATCATAATGATTTATTTAGAGTACAATCTGTGCTCTGTACTAGAATCGCAACGTCTTGAACATTACCAAACGCACCTGTTCTTGCAATAGTTAGCAAGCACATCATATCCTTATCTAACGACTAAACTCACTAAACAATTGATAAGGCGGCACTGCAGAACCAACTGTGACCTACATTCGCAGTATCAACACCCAACATATTAAACGAGAAGTTTACATACAGAGCAATTGTTTCTTCAGGCAAGATACATGATTTTTCAATTATTTGTTGTATTTGTGTATTCGATTTTCTATAGTGATTGTAGATTTAAAGTACCTTCGTAAATATTGAATAGAAATAAATACATGTAGTTTGGACTTCATTAGTTACGATATCGTAAATGTTATTATCGTAATTATTTCATTAATACATTATTATATTCTTTTTAATCCATATTTGAGATTCTACGAATTTAGTTACGCAATTTTTGTTTTGTATGTTGCAGACAGGTCTTGTACTGCCTGCATATACCTTTTTAAATTATTTCATTATATTTTTGAGATAAATATATTTGATTGAGAATTACTTAACAATACTTTAATACGTATACATATTTGATAATCAAAGTATTTATTCCGAAATTATGCAACATAAAAATATACTATATACGATAATGAAGAAAGTATTAAGTAATAATCACCTAATAAAACCTTTTTGTGATATGTGTATAGTTCGAATCTGTTCGTCTCACTTATAGTATATGCCTCTTTCTTACATATTGTAGTATTAAATAGACTCAACTTTATCGAAACATTTACTCTTTAAACTGATTGGAACCTATCGCATTAAGTCATGAAGTACTGGACTTCCTTATATTCTTTGTAAGTAAATATTCATGTCCAAATATTATTCAATCAAACCTTATAAAGAGAAAAATAGCAAAATGTCGATACATACTGAATTTGAACTGATTCAAATTTTCATACTCCCTTGTAAAAACTTATATGCTCTTAACCCTTATTTTTATAAAAATAAAACAGACAAAATAGAATTATAGGAAACAATCTGGTTAATCAGTACCCCTAAAAGAAATATACATATATATTATAACATAAAATTTGTTTACTTTATACTATGCATACTTGATCACTATTCGAATACATATTATTCGACTACTTAAATCTTCAAATAGTATTCGAATAGTATTAGGATACTCTGATATTCGAATACTATCCGTGAAAAATTGAATACCTGAAGTATTCAGATATTCGAACATAGAAAAACTCGACAAGTCCCATCCCTAATTCAGACACCTCACCAAATCATTCCACATTTCCCAGCGGACTGATCGAACGGTACAACATTAATCGCGACGCAACACTTGACAAATGACGAAACGCGGGCGCGAAACAGGAAGGGGGCTCGAAAACAGGAGCACCTCCCGCGATATACAGTCCTTGATCCAGAGCCAGTCGCCCCGTAACAACACCCACGTGCAACCGTTCTCGCGAACACGCCGTAGATTCGGGTTTCCCGCAGGAAGGAGGAGGAAGCTCGCCGTGGAACGAAGAAGAAGAGGAAGAGAGGAGAGGGCAAAGGCAGCTAATGGTAATGGTAGCAAGCCAGTGTCTCTCGGGCCGCCGTCGAAGCCGGTACATGTTCCGTCTGATCGTGTGTCCCACGTGTGCTCGCGTTTTTTCGCCAAGTTATTCTCGACAATTTTAGCAGTCGAGAGAGTGAGTCTCCTCCGATGCGGTAACCGCGTGGAATCGCCGGTTTCTTCGATCGCCCTGGCCAATGAAGGAGCATTTTTCTCTTCCACCATTCACGGTGGTTCACCCGAAGCCTCGATCGAATCCCACAACGTCGATACTACTCTACTATTCGTCCCGATGAATCTTTCATCTTGGTCCTATTCTTAAGATGTCGACGAATTTCCGGTCTACAGGAACCACTTCTGGCCCTGGTGCATTCTATTTGAACCGACCGAACCTGTGAAAATCGAGAGCTCGAGGGAACGCTTGCAAGAAGTCGGAGTGGAGGCTGGAACGAGATTTCGTAGATCCACAGGTTCCTTTTTCGGCGGCCCATAAAAAAGTAGCGTAATTTACGAATCGTATCGACGCGGCCTGTTATCGAGCTCGCATTAATTCACAGGCCGTGGATTATTAATCGGATCGGAGCTAAACAATTCGTGAAGTAGTGAAAACAGTCAAATCCATAATTCTAAATATGTTAAAGTCAGTGTAGAAAATCGTGGTACAGTTTGGAAATGGAAATAAACTGAATTCGTCAATTCTGCGATGTTTCCACGAGTGAATGAGATTATCTTCGAACAGTTCAAAAGGGATTTTGGATGCAACCAAACAACTGTAAAGTCATCAGTCACCGAATGTCATCATAAACCTTAGTGTAGGAAAGTGAAGCAGACTTCTTTAATGTGCTAAACAATTCTAGAATCAAAGTGTCGAAACGATGGAACGTCTAGTTGGGATCAACTAGATCCCGTATATACTCATCGATCCTGTGTACTGTCTAAAAGTAAATCAGAGTATCATCCAACATTTCAGAGAGGACTTTAAGACCCTTAGATGCAATCAAACAACTGTAAGATCATCAGTCTTCGAATAATGGAACGTCCACGAGTTGAATCCAGCTAATTGTCAATCCCCTTTAGTGTCTAACAGTGAATCAGAGCTGCTATAAAATACTGTATTGCACCAAAGAACTCTAGAGTCAAAATTCGAATGGTGGAACGTTCGGTTGGGTTCTCCTAGAACCCAGATATACTCATCAATCCTGCCTAGTGTCTAGAAGTGAATCAGAGTATCCCCAAACATTTCAAAAAGGACATAGTTATAGATTCTTCACTGGACCAAAGAGCTCCAGAATCGAAGTCTCGGAATGCTGGAAGGTCTGATTAGGTTCAGCTAGACCCCGGAAGTGTTAAGGCCCAGCAAGGCGTGATCGCCCAATAGACGGCTGGAGGAGTTTCTCTTCGCATCCACGGGAGATGACAGCGCGATGATAGACGCGCGTACCAACGAGCCAGTCCTTCCAGTGAGTATGGGGTAGAAATGTACCACGGAAGGTCAATCTGGACCCGGGGCGTGTTGGCCCTCGGAGTCGGGGCCCTGTTCCTCCTCGGATGGAGGATCGACTCGGACGGCGACGGGTTGTCTGCTGCCTCCACGTCGCCGCGGATCGTCGAGCCGTGGATCGATTCGGTCACGGGGCCGCCGCGCGCGGACAGGAACTACTTGGCTACGTCATCCCGATCGCCGTGGAGCCTCGACGAGGCTGAGAAAAAAGAGGACCGGCCGGTAACGGAGCAGCAAAATCGACGCGCGTCGACGTTGAAGGGGGATTACTCGCGGAACGATCGTGAATGCCGAACCTGACGTGCCTCGTGGGACGAGCTACACGATGGAAAGGTTGCTCCCAGTGTCAAAACACGGCCGATCGACGGATTATCGTGAAGCTACGAAACACGGGACTGGAAAAGTGGGTAGCTTCGGGTTATCGGATGAAGTGAATGAAGACGAAGAGACTGTTACGGTGGTCGACGGTGTGGTGGACGGAAGGCCGGTGGGGCGAGGTGAAAATGAATTTTTGAACGAGGATGAAGAAACCCGCGGACCGTTGAATGACTCGGGGCTCGGTGAAAGGGGCGACGTAAAAGAGGATTTCTCGCGAGAGGTGAATGGGGAATCGATGAATGAAGGCGGGACGAAGCGAAGGTACTCCGATGACGTGGGTCCACGGGTTTTGGAGAATCTGAGGGAGATTTTGCAGGGTGAAAATACTGACGAGAATAATGGAGATTTGGTCGAAATAGAAAGTACTGATTCTTCGGGACAATATTTATATTCTTTGAGAGACGATTTAGAATATCACGAAAGCATAGACAATAGCAAGAGGATGATACTTGCAATATCTTCTAGTACTTCAAACGATCAGGAATCAACAGTCGATAGACGTAGTGAAAAAAAGCAACAGTTCAATTCGAACGAAGACAGTGAATTAATCCATGGAAATGGAAGAAGTGCAAACCTAGACTATTTTAAGTGGATCGATAATCACGTTCAAAGTTTCAAAGAATCGTCCATTTCCGCCAATTCTTCCGTAGAGGAAGCATCCGAGGAAGAAAGTTCGAACAGCCGAGAAGACGAATCGGTCGTAGAATCCTTCGGATCCCCTCCATCGGTAGCAGGAACCACGCGACGGTCCGTTGGAATGCAAAAGGACGGAGGGATTTTTTTTCGCCGGGAACACGGACCAGCTCGATCTTCCGCAAAGACGCTGGGATCGTTCGGAAGTCGTAAAAATCGTCCGAGGGAACGGGACCGCGGAACGATCCTCGAAAGTGGAGGACGCCGTGATTGGTCGCCCCAGGCTGTTGATCCTTCCGTGGATTTCCGTGCGGAACGGGATCAAAGTGACGGCGGTACGTTCGACAGGCACGAAACAACGGATCGAGATCGTGATCTTTTGATGTCGTCGTTTGGCGATCGTGTAAAGATCGAGGAGGAAGGATCGAAAGTTGTAACCACGATACGAAAAAATAAAAACGAAACGTTGTCAATGAACGAAGGGTTCCATTCACAGGATACAGCCTCGAGTATTCGAAGAATGGACGATGATAAACGTGCGTTGTTTGCAGGATCGATCGATCAGAAATCGTCCCTATTATTCACTCGTGACGGTGATCAACGTGAGAATAAATTTCGCGTTCGCCGAAAGAGATACACGAATTATTATTCGCCGCAGCCCGTCACCCCCATGGCGTACGTTCACATACAACCGGCGTATCCGGTGGCTGCGACTCCACCCGCGAACCGGAAGTGCGTACGGTGCATGGTGGTGTACAAGCCGTGTCCTAAGCAACCGAGGCCGCCACCCAGGATCGTCTTTCCGAATTACAGGTATCAGGAACCCGCTTCGAACTGGCATGGACTGAAATATGGTGAGTCGGTGAATTTCGTATGGTCGAGTTGTTTTTGCGGAAATGTTTAGGAAATGTGCGTTTTGGAATTCGACGGGGGCTGTTTTCAACGTTTCGAGAATTGCAATTCGTCTGAATAATACAGGGATAAAGAGTAATGCTTTTAGGTATAGAGATGTCCTGACAGATTTTCCCAACGATTTTAGTCTGTGCTTTGGTTTTTCAGTGTTAATTTTGCAATCATGGAAGACGCTGTAAATTCTCGAAGAAGCATTATTTTCTTAAAAATTAGTTTTAAACGAATTGCAGTGGGAATCTGACATCGAAAATCCAAAATTTACCATGTAATATAGACGAAAATTATTAAATAAATTGACAACGCAACTCCTAGAACTTTGGAAACATCTGTTTGGAGGGAAACTAAATTTATTGAAAAAGGATAATTCCTGAAGGAAATTTCTGATGTGAATGAAATTTCAAAAATATCTTTGTGGAAGAATTTATTTTTTCACTATTATTTATGGTTGCGTCCATCATTTGCTTGGATATTAGGGACACTAATAGTAAGACGGATTCATAATTCTTTTGTATAATTTTATATGCTTTAAACAGTTTACTATTCCTTGAAGTGTTTATGCATCCTTTAAATGGCCTTTAATGGTGGGTTGAATGTTAAGTTGCTGTCTGTAGGTAAAATATTTCCTGCATTGAAGGATGATATGGTCTGATGTTAATACGGTGTTGTATGAATGGAAGGACGGGAGATATCTTTAGTGAAGAAGTAGTGATGGGTAATTTTCGTGTGTTCTATTCTTATCCTTGACATTATTACTATTTAGATTTGTTTTGTTTGGGAACAATATGTTGTCCTTTTCAAGTAGAGATTATGTTATGTAAATTAGACAATTTATAGCTTCGTGCAGATTTTAATAGTGCCTCTTATAATTTATACTCTGTTCTAAATGATAACAATGACTATTACATGTTTAACTACATACTAATTTTCATAAATAAAACAAGCCTGTAATCAAGCATTTCTTTTTAAGTCATGTTAAGCATGTTAACATACGTATCTTGTAAATTTAGTTTAGTTGATTACAATGTAATTGTAATTGTGATTGTGATTTGAATGTTGCAATTACATTGCAATTTCATTGTAATTGTGATTTGGATGTTGCAATTAGATTACATTTTGCCCAACTCTGCTATACATATCAATTAGATATTTCTTACTCCACTCGATAAATGCTATAAGCATCTAATCTTTTAGACCCCATTTTTGGAACACCCTGTATAAATGTAAATCAACGTGCAACAATGCAATTTAATCTAATAACGATCTCCTGTACATTGCACGTAAAGTAAATATTCGTGACCAATCGAAGAAAATCGCATGTATCGCGTTACACCCAAGAAACTTGGGTGATCAGGCTTTAATTACGTTTTTTCCTACGTCGGGATGGAGCTCGCGAAATTCGCCGTGCGCATAAAACATCGCTAGACCATCCCCCGTACGCTGATTGCAATTTATGGCCCCGCGATTTATTCCTAGAAAAAGCCACTGTCGACGAAACATCGCTCGGTTAATGAGCCGTATCCGAGGCTCCTCAACTTCTCCGCGGAGGTCGGAGGTCGAATCTCCTCCGATCGCGACCTAACACGACACGACATTGCGCACGGTTCAACTGCCGTTTCCCCGTCCGCACCTCGGAAACCACCGCGAAACAATAAATCTTTAGGTTTATCGGGAGAATCTTGTTCGATCGTGACAGGCATTCGTCACATTTTAATAACCTCTCGTGTCTTACTGATAGGATCTGTTCAGTGAAACGAGTCTCCGTTCCATGGAGCAATGCCCCCTCCTGGCAGAAAGTGTTTTTGATCGGACGTGCTGATGCGATCGTTGCAGGAATTAATACTGGAACTATTAGCATTGAATCTATCCTAAGTTAAATTACGAAATATACAGGGTGTAACAAACATGTTGCAGGTCCCTGGAATGGGACACTCGTGAGGCGATTTGGAACAAGTTTTTCCTTAGCAAACATGTTATCCGAGGCTTTGTTAACGAGATATTAACGGAAAACCCTGACCAATCAGAGTGCGAGTCTGCCGGTCGAGTTCCTCGGTAATCTTGGCTACGCGCTGCGATTGGTAGCCATCACCATGGCGATCTTTTCATTCAAATCAGACTGTAATCACTTCCACTACTTTTTCATTTATTTCTGCATTAAAATGGCTTGTTAATATGAACATTATAAAAATAGTGAATTGAATTTGTTTAATATGAAAATTATGAAAATAGTATGTGAGTATATTATTCGGATAACATGACTTTTCGATCTACTTAGAATTTCAAAAAGAATGAATTATTTATTCGTGTACCTATCACATCATTAATTTGAAAATTAATTAATTTTCTACAATCTAATCTTATTTCTGAAGAAGATACATGTACTGTCATCGTTAATAATCACTAGGATGTTATTGACAGAATATTCTTTGAGACAACGAAATTAATATTAATTACAGATTCGTTATGCTTGAAATTGATGAATCTCTTTCAGAAATGTTCAGCTTTCAGTTACTGAATTGAAATATTGTGTGATAATATTTACTAGTAAGAATGATAAGCAGTATTATACTATTATAGTATGAATAATATAATAATTATTATATACTTAATTTAAATTCTACTTACATGAATGCATACAAATGTAATAATATTCACACTTAAATTGTCAATTAAACTTCAAAATGAATGTGGATATTATGTATCTATAGCGTCCCCCGAATTGCAAAACATAGGAAACCATAAATTCTAATAAAATGTAATTACATTTATTTAAATGTATTTACATATTATACAAGCACAAGAAACAAAATTTTGTTCAGTTTTCTATTTATATGTCGGTGTCCTAAATTGTAAGATTTACTTACTACATTCGCAGTCTAGTTATAACAATACTATTCATATATAAAACAGAATTATCGTTTTCTTATTCAGAGTTCCTTCAAGGATATTCGAAACAATTTTTCCGGTTATATTTATAGAAAAATATAATAATTACGAACACCTTGAGTCATCGATTATTTGTGTTCGGTGCAAAAGTGTACCGATAACAAACGTTCAAGGTAACGCAGATAAATCAGCAATGTAGGAACGAGAGGAATCGTTCGAGCCGAGGTAGAAAGAACGTTTCCGTGCAAGGCATTTGCGTAGGCACGTACGCCGATCCGTTGAAAAACGACGTCGAAACTAAAAATATCGGCATATCAACGAGCCGGTGGATGTACGCGTGCATTCGCACGCAGAAAAGTGCGTGATGCCGCAGCGAAAGTTCGTGCTGCGATGGGTTTTCGTTCTAGTAGGGATGGGACTAAGAGAATCGCGAGTATTATGCAAAACCTTATAGAAAAATTACAAAAATAATAATTAAATTGCCGATTTTTATGCAAATGTCAATCTTTAATAATTGATTTCCGAAAACAGATAACAAACAGAAATTTCTTTACTAGATTAAAGATTGTATGGAGTTCCACATAAAACGAAGACTATACTAAAATTTATTGAACTTCAGACAATTGAGTAGGTACGCTATAAATTCATAAAATCCACAGTGTAATAACAATACACATATTTCGAGAGTAAACGAGAATTGGCTATTTTTGTACTAAACTATACACTGCAAAAGTATTTGACATTACGATAAATAAACAAGCTAAACTATAACTTAAAAAAGAACTTTACCAACCATAAAAAATATGATTACTACTTTAATTCCTTAAAAAGAAATAAAACTTCTTAGAAGTGTAATGTAATTGAACATTGTTGTTGCTAATAGCCTTGTGTACACATGTATTATGCTAACGAGTCATAAATAACTTAGCTGTTTCTTTTTATTCCTGACAATCCAAGACAATTTAGAATTAATATCAATCTATGACACGTACTTTATTACTATTGAATTTAATAAATGATATTCAGTTTAATCTTCATAATATCGTGGGTATTTAATTATTATTTAGTCATTTTTTAGTGTCCATAACAGAAGATATTAAAAGACCTTAAATATGAATTGTTTAAAATACAAAATAAAAAGGTTTTATTTTGAATAATAAATCAGTCAATTATTCTATCGAAATTATTAACGTATATCTAGGACGTATATATACAGGACTTTTATACGCAAATAAAAACTACAATTGCAATGTAATTGCAAGATAATTACAATTACAATGTAGTTGTAAAAGTACAATGTATTTGTAAAATTGTAATTTAGATTTTGTCTTTAGATTACACTTTACCGAACTCTGCGCGGAAGGAATTATACATAAATTACTTTGAAAATGGAAAGGAATCACATGGAAATAAAAAATGATTAAAGATATTTGCTCGTGTTTATCAAAATTAAATCGTGGGAAAAATGCAGATTTATGAGATTATCTAATAGAATTATTTTGTTAGATCTGCAATAACTGCCGACGTCGTTATTAAAGTCATTTTTACGCTGTACCATTCCACGAGAAATTTTTTTGGTCGTGCATAAACACCAAGAAGAATTCCCATTAATTACGTCACGAATGCAGTTAATGACCAGTATCAATCATAAGAACGTATAGTATAATCGTACTGAACGCGATCCTCCGTGATCGTGCGTGAAAATACTCGTCCAGGGTGGCCCTGATGTGGATCTCGTTCTTCGTGGCGAGTCTTATAATTGATGTGAACCCTATCAGCCAATATCCATTAAATTTTCCATTCGGACAGTTTAAAAAATAGGCGACGAAGATACCATCTATTGCTATCGAAATTTTTGTGTCGACTGTATGCACGCAGAAATATTCGAAAAAAGGCAAGAATCACTTTTTCTCAAGAAATATTGAACAATAATTTGCAACAAATTTTATGACTAAACAAAATTTGTAATAAATAACTTTAATGTGACAATACTTTCTCTTATTCTAATGTGTTCTAGAAAAAGCTAGTAACGTTTAATGGTCCACCCTGTATATTTTAA